CCCTTCCACTTTAACGGAAATTTGTAAAAACTAGGGAACCTCCACGGGACAACAGTCCTCGGATGATATCAAACGAGCTTGGGGTAAAAGTGCCCGACTCAAAAGTAAAGGACGAACTCGATGGTCTTTTTGTGTTATGCAACAATTAAAGACGAAGAGATCATTGACAAGTCCAATCATGACGGAGAAGTGAACAATTTGAAAGACCAGTTAAAAGCGGTATGTAATGAATTAAAAACAACTTAAAGACGAATTGGCTGCCGCTAAAAAGGAGATAGAACACATGAAGACTACTTCACCAACTCCGCCACCTTACCCCGCTACACCTTTATATCCCGTTCTTAGACCGAGTGCACCCTCTGTTAAAGGCAACTTGGAATCGTCCTCGGAGAGCGATGATGATTCCGGTACTAATAAGGGACCCCTTGTGGCCATGCACCCAGTCTGACTAAAACAACAAAAACGGAAAAAGATTAATGTCAAAGAAAAGGACAATGAGCCAGGAGAGTCCAAATATGAACACACAATGTTCACGAGGTCCCTGATCCAAAAGGTGGTCGGAAGAATTGCTGCACCCTAGAAGGCGGGTGGGGTCTAAAAACGTGCAGTCAGTTGGAAAAGTTGAAAAATATTTACTCTCTACATCCCATGGACGGAGTTCAAATTTTATCTGACGTAGTGGGATCAAATATAGGAAATAAACTTCTCACTGGAGTAACAGCACAGTTAGGGGAGAATGGACAGAGGTTAGAGGGCGAATGGTGTTCTATCCGCAACTGGCTCCACGATTACGGCCCTCCTAAAACAGATTGGAACAAAATAACTGCCTGTGAACAAAAAGGTACTGAAGAAGTTAGGGACTTTGCAGAGCGTTTTATAGACATTCGGATATAACCCACAGAGGCATGCTCAGGATGGTAGGATGGACGATATAGAAAAGCAGACACTCGCCCCATTAAAATCACCCTTTGTGGCCGGCCTTAAACCCGAACTAGCACAAATGTTGAAGTTACATCGTCGCGATTGCGAGCAGGACCACATCTCCCTCAGAGACCTGATTGGAGAAGGAAGTAAGCTGAAACGGGACATGGAGTCAATACTCAGTCATGCAGACCTTACTAACACTGATAAAAGTCGTGGAAAATGCCACAATTGTGGGAAGGAAGGACATTTGAGCAAAAATTGCAGACAAAAGAAAAAGAATCCAGGTGGGAAACAGAACTCCAGACAACCTAAAGAGGTTTCTGGATGGGATAAATTTGCCCTAACGGAACGCCTGACTCTAGTTGAGCAAATTAAAGGGTGCTCAGAGTCTCAACTGAAGCAACTCATTGATCTTACAAAAAAACTAACCCAACCCCCGCCCCACCTTTTAGCCCCTTTTACTGCAGCCACCAGACAGTTGTTACGTTAAGGAAATTGACTGTCTCCTTGACACAGGTGCCGAGTTAACTTGTCTTCCATGGTCTACCCCGAGAAGGCAGGAAGAGGACTGCCGCTGGGGCTTGGGGGGTGGGGGGAGAACAACTCAAGATTGAGAAAATAGAACCCCTTCTGATATGGCTGGGCCCCTACAAAATAGTCACCTCTGTGTGAGTGGATCCCATCCATCAAGCTTTGCTGGGTTTGGATGTCTTGACCTAGATAAACTCATCGATACATTTTGAAAATCGTCAAGTCACCTTCTCACACTGTACATTTTATACTCTCTATGAACTGTGCTCGCTGGACCACCCTTTTGGAGGCTCCTATTCTCCATCTTGCACAAGCTAGTCCTGTTAACCCGGCCATGTTGTTGCCAATCCCACAGGACCAAAAGGGGGAAGGAAGAGGGGAGAGTGGTGACACTGATGGGGAACATGACTGTGTAGAGATATTGTAGCATCTTGATGAAACAGCTTGCACTTCAGAAGATCCTTTATGAAACCTGGACCTGCTTCTCTTCACAGACGGGTCCTCTTTCACGGAAGATGGGATCCGAAAGGCTGGGTGGGCAGTCACGACTCTGCATGAGGTCCTGGCTGGGGCAGTTTGCCACTGGGTACCTCTGCTCAGGAGGCTGAATTATTGGCATTAACTGAAGCACAAAAAATGGCTAATATTTACAGAGACTCCAGATATGCTTTTGGTATAGCCCATGATTTTGGCACCTTGTGGCAAAAATGAGGCTTCCTCATGGCAGCTGGCACCTCCATTAAAAACAAAAATGAAAGTCCATAGCCTGAAGGCCATCCAGTTACTGCAGGAGGTATCAAAGCTTAAGTGTAAAACCCACACTAAAGGGAACTCCATAGAGACCCAGGGCAATACCCTGGCTAACCAGGCAGCCAAAAATGTGGTAGCCTGTACCCCACACAAACCTCTAATAGGGCCATTGCAGACAACGGTTAATAAATTGCAAGATTTAAAATCATGCAAGGGCAATGCTCTCGAGAAGAGAAGTGGACATGGATGAGCCAGGATTGAAGTTATGTGAGGATGGAGTTTGGAGACAGAGAGGAACCAGTAAACCAGTAGCACCACAAGCAGCTGGTGCCCTTTTAGACTCAACAAATCCATTCCTGGGACCCCCCCCCCCAAACCCCCAACCACTGCGCAGATGACACCCAGATTTCAGAGAAGTTGGTGGGGAAGGAAATTTAAAAAGACACGCACAGTCAGTTGTAGACAAATGTGCGACTTGTCAAAAGAATAGCCCCAGGCCCACCACCGAGATGTCCCCGTTGAGACCCCCGGCCCCTGCAGGCCTCTTCCAACAGGTTGTTTATATCCTTGCCAAAATGTTAGGGTTATCCGAGGTCCTGGTTATAGTGGACAGATTCTTGATGTGAGTGGAGGCCTCTCATGCTAGGAGGGCCGCTGCCAAAGTCTTCTGTAAAGACTCAATGGGGTCTCCCTCACTGCATTGACTTGGAACAAGGCACCCACTTCACAGGTGCAGTATGTCAGGAAGTTTGCAGGCCACCATGGGTTAAGTGGGACCTACACTGTCCAAGTCACCCCCAGTCTTCAAGCCAGGTGGAGTGCGCCAATAGAACTCTTAAACAGAGGCCGCAAAGTGCTACCAGGAAGGCCTATCTTAGCTGCAGGCTTTACCCGAGTGTGTGCATAATTCAGGCAACTCCTGGTAGATATGGGCCTCAGTCTCTTTGAAGTCATAACATGATGGTCTATGTTCTTACCTGGTACCATCGACCTACATACTGCTGACTATTGCATGTTAAGTGACTCTTTGCTCCAATATTGTCAAGGTCTAACCACAGCTGTGAGCTCTGCTTCTCAACTGTTGTCAGCTGCCTCGGGAAATACCCTGGATGCAGGACATGATCTCGTTCCCGGTACTTGGTTCAACATCAAGCAATTTATAAAGAACCTTTGGGTGCCAAGTGGGAACATCTATATCAAGTTGTGATGACAACACAATCTGCTGTTGAAGTCCATGGCAAGAAAGCTTGGATCCACGTGTGCCACGTGAAAAGGACTACTCACCACATCGAAACACGTAGTTGTCCGCGATAGGTCTGTTACTCATGCCTTTTTGTATTGTTTCTGTTGGTAATGTACCTAAACAAGAGCTAAATGCAAACACTTTCCTTTACATCTCATATACTATGTCCAGTTTTTGGGTGTGTACCCATATTCCGACACACTGTATAGGGGGAATCCCATTACGATCAATCCCCTTCAATGCCTCCAAAGTCGCGGAGTGGGTGCTGAAACAGAACAATTTGCTGCCCAGAAATCGGGACGGTTTACAGACCGAAGCTGGCTACGAAACGGTTAACACCAACAGGCTAATGCAAGAGTGGTGGTCTGCAGGATAACCCCCTCACTGCCTTCCATGAATGGCACCAGCAAAGACTACCGCACCATCTCCTCTCCCCCTTTTGTTACACTGACCAACATTTTATATGAAGAAAGGCACAGAGCCCCTATCTGTCTCAACAGAACTGCAATTCAGGAGAAGGGGACATGCATGGGATGCTCCCAATATTATAACATCACTATTTTCCCGGTCCCAGGAAAAATTTCCCAATCCTTTCTGACCAAAGGGACTCATGACGGCTCTCTCCTCACACAGGGCTCCAACAGCCTTCTTTCTTTTCGCAAAGCCAAACGTGGAGGCACTTTCCAACAAAACTGGTTCCCTGAAATTGTTTCCCATTTCACCCCTTTTAACGGTACCTATTTTGTTTGTGGCCACAAGGCATACGCCCGGACTGGCTCCTCTTATCTCCCTTATGTGATCCCGTTTATCCATCACAACTACCTGATGTCCGCTGTACTATTCACAAACGTGCCATCAATGAAACCGAACAATTCTTTTCAGTTCTGTTTCCCCCGTATGGCACTGCCAGGTTGGCCAACGAGCCCTGCAATATGGCTGCTGCCCTGATGCAAACAGCCAATGACACAGTCCAGGCCTTAGATAAAATCACTGCTGAAATGTTAGCCATTCACACAACTGCCTTACAAAACCGAATGGCCCTAGACTGACCTCAATCTGAAAAAGGAGGCACACGTGCCCTCATTCAGAAACAATGCTGTGCTTACATCCCTGACAATTCAGAGAAAATTACCAACCTTGCGGATCACATCCGTAAAGAGGCTGACAAACTCAAATACCCCCAGAAACACCCTTTGGAGTTAGGCTATGGGATGGTTCGGATCCTTGGGCACTTCCATTGTCCAAGGCATCATACTCTTTCTCATTATTTTAACTGCCATTTATATCTTTTTGCAATGCTTTTCTGCTTGTATCAAGAGCTTGATGCCCATTAAAATTCATGCTGTTCAGTTCGGTTCTTCGGAACCAAGTGATTTGTTTTGTGCCGATGTTAAAAGATTGTGATTCTGCAGGGTGCTTTGACATAATTAAAGTGGGGAATTGTGGAGGCTGGCATCTAAAGGTAGTTAGGATAACAAAAGTGGCACATGACAGCAAATGCCGTCATGCCCGTGTGAGTCATGCTAACTGTGTAAGAGATTCAACAAGTGCATGCTCTGTAAAGAAAATGTGCGTTTATCATAGTAGAATAGTAGATAACCGGAAGAATACTGTACAAACAAGCTCTGCATGCAAGTATGTGTTGTATCTGTTGCCATACTGTATAAAAAGCCACGTCTACTCACCGTAAGCAGCTTAAACTCAAAAGATGTACTACGAAATGCTTTCAATAAAGACAACCTTTAAGATTTCTACCGGTCTCCGTCTCGCTCCTGTTCGTCGGTCTCGGAAAGAACCCAACATATCTTAATTCTGGAAATTTACTCAATTCAGATTCCCACTATCTGCCATGACGGGATTCAAACCTGGGTCCGCCAGAACATTACTGGGGGATCTCTGGATGAAGAGTCTGGTGATAATACAGCTACGCCATCGCCTCCCCTGCATGATGATACTGAAAATGAGAAAATGAGTGCATTTCAGTAGCTGTTGCACATCATTTGCATGTGCAGTCCCAGGCTCAAAAGGGCATCAGTCCACCGGAGGTAAAGTTGGTGAGAGTGGCCAGTCCAGCAGCAAGTAACCCTTCACCCCTCACATTTCACCCACGGTCACAATGAACATGGTTCAGTCCAGGATATGATTCACAACAGCGGGAACAGAGTCCAAACCCTGTTGGCTGCATGTGAACTTGTTGGTGTCTCTGTAGGTTGGAAGTCTGAGTGAATCCAATTTCGCAGACAGAGCAGGAGAACGGTCTCTCCCCGGAGTGGAGTCGCCGGTGTTTCTGCAGGGTGGATGAATCTCTGAACCCCTTCCCGCACACAGAGCAGGTGTAGGGCCTCTCCCCGGTGTGAACCCGTCGGTGTTTCATCAAGCTGGTCGACTGAGTGAATCCCTTGCCACATTCGGAGCAGGTGAAAGGCCTCTCTCCAGTGTGGATATGTTGGTGCGAAAGCAGAGTGGATGACAGAGTGAACGCCTTCCCACACGCGGAGCAGGTAAACGGCCTCTCCCCTGTGTGAACCCGCTTGTGGTTCAGCAGAGCAGCTAACTGAGGGAAGCCCTTCCTGCACACGGAGCAGGTGAATGGCCTCTCCCCAGTGTGGACCCGCTGGTGGGTCTGCAGGTTGCACAGCCGACTGAAGCTCGTCCCGCACTGAGAGCAGGCGAATGGCCTCTCCCTGGTGTGAACTGGTTGGTGTTTCAGCGGGGTGGAAGAATCGATGAATCCTTTCCCACACACTGAGCAGGTGAACGGCCTCTCCCCGGTGTGAACTCGCTGGTGGGTCAGCAGGATGGAGGGCTGGTTGAACCCCTTCCCGCACACAGAACAAGTGAAGGGCCTCCCCCCATGTAAATGTGTCGGTGGGTTTCCAGCGCCCATGGAGAAGGGAACGCTTTCCCACAGTCCCCACATTTCCACCGTTTCTCCATGGTGGAGTGGAGCAGGGGGTTTTCCTTGTGTTGCTCTGGGTTTGCCGACCCAGCTGAAATTATATCCACAAACAGAACAGGTACACAGTCTCTCCCCCCCCCCGAAGGGGGGGGGTTTCCCCCCCTCCCCCCCACCAATATGAGTAAATGGTGAAACCACTTTTCACAGTCAGTGCACTGAATCTGCCTCACTCGGGTGTCTATGTCTCAACGTTCTTCCTATCACCCCAGTATTCAAAGTCTCTCAAGCAGAGAAAAACAAACATTTCTCCTCGGTTCGATGGGACTTGAACATCAGCGGCCAAGGAAGCAAGTGGCTCTGTCAGACGTTGATACATCATTTGGTTTCAGATTTCTTTCTGCGTGCCCTCGCCTTTGATGTCCTGCAAAAAAAAACTTCACAAAATGAGTGATCACTGTCAGTACAGTCAAATGAACATAACAGACACTAGTTCCTGGAAACTGACAGATGCCTGCTGGTCAGGTTTCTGTGCCCTGGATAACGTGAAAACCCTCATGCATCCAGCTAGCCTCAAGTACATATGGAGGAAAGCTTTGTTTAGATAACAATAAGCTGGAACAAGCTGCTGGAAAAGGAGCTGAATCAAGGATATGAAAATGAAATGTCGAGGCTGCTTGAGAAAAGAAAGGCAGTAAAGTTGCTGAATGACTTCCTTCTGACATATTAAACAAAAAGATGACAAGAAATACAGAATATAACTCTATTACTATATTATAAGGTGAACAATAATAGCCATGAAACCTTTACAGTAAATAACACCAGATTTACATCATATGTAGCAAAACATCTGAAGCAATTCGTCTGTGCCTACCAGATATCCTAAATTAATCAGTCCCATTTGTCAGCATTTGGCCCATATCCCTTTAAACCCTTCCTATTCACGTACCCATCCAGATGCCTTTTAAATGTTGTACTTGTACCAGCCTCCACCACTTCCTGTGGCAGCTCATTCCATACACACACCACCCTCTGCGTGAAAAAGCTGTCCCTTAGGTCCCTTTTAAGTCTTTTTTCTCTCACCTTAAACCTATGCCCTATAGTTTTGGACTCCCCCGTCCTGGGGAAAAGACCTTGGCTATTCACCCTTTCCATTCCTCTCATGATTTTATAAACCTCTGTAAGGTCACCCCTCAGATCCTGACGCTCCAGGGAAAATAGCCCCAGCCTACTCAGATTCTCCCAATAGTTCAAACCCTCCATCCCTGGCACCATCCTTGTAAATCATTTCTTAACCCTTTCAAGTTTAACAACATCCTATACCAGGGAGACCAGAATTGAACGCAGTATTCCAAAAGTGGCCTAAGCAATGTCCTGAGACTGAGTAAGAACTGCCAATGCTGGAGTCAGAGATAACACAGTGTGGAGCTGGAGGAACACAGCAGGCCAGGCAGCATCAGAGGAGCGGGAAAGCTGATATTTCGGATCGGGACCCTTCTTCAGAAATTTATAACCAAATGTCCTGTACAGCTGCAACATGACCTCCCAACTCCTATACCCAATGCACTGACCAATGGAGGCAAGGACACCAAACGCCTTGTTCACAGTCCTATCTACGTGCCACTCCTCTTTCAAGGAACGATCAACCTGCACTCCAAGGCCACTTTGTTCAACAACACTGCCCAGGACCTTATCATGAAGTGTGTAAGTCCTGCCCTGATTTGCCTTTCCAAAATACATCACCTTACATCTAAATTAAACTGCCACTCCTTGGCCCATTGGCCTACCTGATCAAGGTCTCATTGACATATTTTGACGGAGTTTGGTCTGAATCATAACAGTTGAGTAGGACTATGGCAACTCTATCTCAAAGAGCATCAGGTGAGTTATTCCTGCTTTCCAGGAGCCAATAGCTTTCCAATTGATCAGTATGAGTATTTTTTAGATTAAAAAAGGCACTCCCAGCCATTTATGTTTACGGAATTTTGCTGTGTGCAGATTTATTGCTGCACTTCCTATTATAAAGACTGCACTTTAAAAATCACATGGAAACTCTTGGACACATTTCTAATAGTTGTTGGGTGTTGTATGAACTCCAACATTTCTTTTCCTGGGTTTGTCACAGATTAAAGTTATAGTAATGTGACTCCAAATCTGTTGCAACTCCTTTCCAAACCTCACCTTGAGCTGTGTGCCTCTACTGGGAGCTGTGGATGATCAGCTGCTGAGTGAATGCAGCACTACAGTACACAACAATAATCATGGGATACTTTTTAAATCATTGGCATTATTAACCATTCCTAGAGGGCCTTGAGAAGCAGGTGAACTACTGTCTTGAAGTGTAATGTAATCGGGAAACTAAACTTCAATAGCACCCATCCGCTGACCAAATGCCGCGAACACAGCCTCATCACCACCACACTGTTCGCCAAAGGAACAAATACAGGACAATGTGGCAGACCCGCGCTCCAAACACCAGTACCTTCCTGATTATGTCATTGTCAGAGTGAGGGATCGGACTGATGCTAAATTCACCCATGCCACAACAGGAGCCGACTGCTGGGCGGACCATCACCCGATCGAGCCAGGATCAACACAAGTATAACCCCTGCAGCAGTGGAGATAACAGAAGCAGTCTGCAAACAAAACGCTCAACCTTGTGGCACTTGAAGGGCCCAGAGAAAATAGACTCGTACAAACAGATCCTCAGCGACCCTGAGTCGTGGGATCCTAACAACTACTGGTCCACCCCGAAGAACACCATCAATGCCTGCAAAAACTCAGTCTGTCACTCAACCAGGAAACGCTAAGACTGGTTTGATGAGAATGATTGGGAGGTCTAAGAACGGTTAAAAGCTGGAGGCACATGACATTTCTGAGCGTAAAACTAAAACCACACACAGAAGAGAAAAGGAGGCCTACAGGTGGCTTAAGGCCAAGGTCCAACAACCCACGACAAAGAACAGATGGTGGGTGGAGAAAGCACTGGTGGCACAACGAATGGCCGACAACCAGAATATGCAGGGTTTCTTCTGTGCTGTCAAAACCACTTAAGGACCAAATACCCAAGGCCCCACCCCACTGCTGGCCAAAGACAGAGTGACTCTTACAAAGATGCCATCAAACAATGCAGAGGAGGAGCATTTCAGAGATCTTCTTGACCAGGGCTCCATCGTTGATCTGAGTGTCCTTGAACAAATCCCACAGCACGCTATACGTCACAGGCTCAGCAACACTCCAGCCCCCTTGCACAAAGTAGAGAAGGCCGTCTGCCAGTTTAAGAACAACAAGGCTGCTGAGGCATTGAATTGCGGAGACAAAGAGCTCCTGCTGCAGCTACACGATCCTTGTCTGCTTTAGCTGGAAGGAGGAGAGCATTCCAGGAGAGCTCTGAGATGCCACAGTTGTGAGCATTTTCAAAAATGGGAACAAGACCAACTGTGGCAACTACAGGGGACTCTCCCTGCTGTCGACGGTTGGAAAAGTCAATTGCCAAGGTCCTCTTCAACTGGCTCCTCCCTGTGGCTGAGGAATTCCTCTCATAAATTGCAGTGTTGCTTTGGGCCATGCAGGGGCACAACGGACATGATTTTCACCGTGCGACAGCTGCAGGAGAAATGCAGAGAAAAAAACCCTCCCCTGTACATGGCCACCTTCAACCTTCCAAAGGCCTTTGACAGCATCAATCAGGAAGCATTATGGAACATCTATCTCCACCTTTGATTGCACCATGAAGTTTGTCAACATCCTGCGCCTACACCACGATGACATGCAAGTCATGGTAATGATAAACGGCTCCACCGCCAACCCGTTCCCCATTTGGACCAACATCAAGCAGGGCTGCGTCATTGCCCAAACGTGGTTCTCCATCCACCTCGCTGCAATGCTTTCCACTGGGGTGGAGCTAGCTTACAGCTGTAACAGGAAATCGTTCAACCTCTGCCTCCTTCAAGCCAAAACCAAAGTCATCCCAACCAGTGTCATCGAGCTGCAGTACGCACTTCAGGCCGTCGACAGCACCTTTACAAAGGCATGGGTCTCACCCTGAACATCCACAAGACAAAGGTCCTCCAACCTGGCCTGGCATTGAGGGACGAACTCCAGATCATCAAGGTCCACGGGCAGGCCTTAGAGAACGCAGACCACGTCCAATACCTTGGGAGTATCCTGTCGGCCAAAGTAGGTACGGATGAAGAAATCCAACATCGACTCCACTGTGCTAGCACAGCCTTCAGCCACCTGAGGAAGACGGTGTTCGAGGACAACATCATCAGGTCGGCACCACGATCGTGGGTTACAGAGCTGTGGTGGTTCCTGTCCTCCTATAATGGCTCTGACACGTGGACAGTCTAGAGCAGACACCTCAAGGCACTGGGAACAGTGCCACCAACAGTGCCTGTGCGAGATTCTGCGAATCCGCTGGGAAGAAAGACACACCAACACCAACACCAACATCCTCGAGCAGGCCAACATCCCCAGCATCGAAGCACTGACCATCACCAGATGACAACGAGCTAGAATCGCCATCCGTGTGACCGACACGAGACTCCCCGAGAAGGTGCTCTACTCCCAGCCTTGAATCAGAAGGCAAGCCCCCAGGCGGACAGAGGAAGTGCTTCAGTGATACCTTCCAGGCCTCACTGGCAAAGTGCAGCATTCCCACAGACACCTGGAAGTCACTGGCCCAAGACCGTCCAAAGCGGAGTAGGAGCATCCAGGAAGGCATTGAGCACCTTGAGACTTGCCAACAGGAGAAAGCGGAAGCCAGATGAAAATAGTGAACAAAGCGCGTCGTCATATGAAATGCCCCAGCCACCCCTTCTGCCCCAAGCGTAACAGAGCCGGCAGAAGCCGCATCAGTCTGTACGGCAGCCTATTAGAGTCATCCTGAAACTTGAAGAGAGTCATCCTTGTCTGCGAGAGACCACTGATGACGATGATGATGATAGCGATGATCCTCTTGAACAACTGCAGGCCATTTGCTGCAGTGCACATGGAGGGAGTTTCAAGATTTTAACCCAGTGACACTGAAGGAACGGTGATATATTTCATAAAAACTGAAAGAATTGCCGAGCTGTAGATCAGGAACAAAAACAGAATTTGTTGCTGGAAAAGCTCAGCAGATCTGGCAGCATCTGTGAAGAGAAAATCGGAGTTCACATTTCGGGTCCGGTGACCCTTCCCGAAACGTGAACTCTGATTTTCTCTTCTCAGATGCTGCCAGTCCTGCTGAGCTTTTCCAGTGACATATTTCAAGTCAGAATGGTGAGTGGCTTGGACAGGAACTTGCACATGGGGATGGTGCGGGAGCTGGGGCTGAGGTATTTCATGTTCCATTTTACGGAATGATAGAGCAGGCAACAAAGGAGGCAATGGTTGCGCAGAGATAATCTCAATGAATCTGTGAACCACAGGCCCAGGTCA